CAGCTCCCTGTTGGCTCCTGTGGATGAAGGAATAGTCTGGGCATGAGAGTCAGCCCAAAGCCATAATACGCAGAGTAGTTCCCAAATTCAGCCATCAGCTGTCATCTTTAGGATTTGGGTCACATCCATGCACCACCTCTATACTCATCTATGTTTGCTGTTTTTAAAACACAGGGAATACAGTCAAGTGGTTCCAAAAGCAAACCAAGGCTAAAAGGTGAATGGGGACGTCTCTCTCCTACCTCTACCCCTGTCCTCCTGTCCCCCATCCCCTCCACCAACCACAAAAGGCAAGTATGTGTGTTATTAGGTTTTGTCTATCCTTCCAGACCTTGTGGACATAGAATAAATATGAAGACATATTTTTTTCCCTTTCTTGTACAAAACATAACATAACCTGTAGACTGTTACATATCTTATTTTGTCACCTGATACATTGCATGATGTTCTACTTTGTCTATACGAGATGGCCTATGTACAAGGCTATCCACTGCACTGTAATAGCAAAAAGTCGAGAACAACTGAGGTGTCCCCCAAGAGGGGGCTGGCTCAGTGAGATGTGACCTGTCCTCACAACAAAATACTCCACTGTGGAAAAAAAGAGAGAGAGAAAGCCTAGTGGGGGCTGGTTGGAGATGAAAATGGTTTCTATGTTCTGATCAGGAAAGATCTCTAATCTCCAGGCCATAATAATTGGATAGGATAGGAGTAATGTAAATTCCCCAAAGTGGGAATATTGGGTCAAAGGATATATGCATTCACAATTTTGACAGATACTGTCAAATCTTTTGTCGCTTCTAGATTTCTGAATCATAATTTGAAAGACCTTTTAATTGACTTAATATTTGGCTTTACATCAATTTATATTTTGAATTTAATAAATGTATTTTTTAAAGGGATACTAGAATAAGGGAAAAAACAGAAATTGAGAAAAGTGACGGACAAGCCAGGGTCTCTCAATACAATAGAACTGAATATAATTCGAAGCAATAGCAATATATTCTGGCAGATGTAAACAGAAAGGTGCTCATTAAAGGATATGTGGACCCCAAAGACCCTCAGGGAGGCCTGAGCATCATGCTTATGGGCTGAACATGCAGGAAGAAGCCATAAAGACACCACTGCCCTTGCTCTTGGCTTTGACACCCAACCTGCCGAGCTGGGCCCTGGTCCTGTCCCCACTGCCTCTGGAAGCCAGAGGAGACTCCTTTCGCAGCCATGCAGCCACCGTCCCTCAATAAACAGATTCTCGCATTGAGGGTGGTCCCTGCTTTCTTCGTGACCTTGGCTAATTGGGGCAGGTGTGACTGATGGGGGAGCCTAGTGCTCAGGAAGGCCTGGAGAGCAAATGTCCAGCATTCAGCTTATACAGAGGGAGGCTGGCTCTTCCTTGTCAGGAAGCAGGTTCTGGAAGTGGGTGCCAGAAAAAAAAGGATGAGGGTCCACTCCCAGAAGGATGGGCAGTGTCTCCAGAGACACAGTGCTGCACTGGACAGGGCGGGGGAGACCAGATGTCTCAGCGCTTTGCAGAGAGAGGGTGTGGGCTGTGATCCCAGCGAGGACCCAGTGGGCAGGCAGATTGTGGAAACATGTGGGACAGCCAACCCAGAAGTCTGGGAGCTCCAAGAAAGGGGACGGAAGACTGGGCAGCGGGGGGAAGAAAGAGGGCCTGCAGTAGGGGTGTTAGGATGGGGAGGCTGGGGAGAGCTTGAGGAGGGTGGAGGCTCAGGACTAAAGCCTGAAAGAAGGGCAGGGGTGCATAGGGAGAGGTTGAGCCTGGAGGGTGGGCCTGGGGACCTGGGAGGGGTGCTCGGTGTGAAGGGAAGGCAGGCTGGGGGAACTGAATGGAGGGTGATGGGGGCACAGAGTAGGCCAGGAGACAGGAAAACACTCAGGAGAAGGGACACAGAGCATGCACCCCCAAACTAGGCTGCGGACTCCTTGCTGATCCTGACCAAGAAGGCATACGTGCCAGTAGGGTCCAGGAGGAGAGTTCCCAAGTCCTCTGCATTTCCCCTAAATCCCCAGGGATAACTGGAGCCCACTTTGGGAAACTGGGATTGTATTTTTCCTATGCCTGAGCTTCCCTCACACCCATGGAGCCTCAGCAGCATAGAGAACCCTGGCAGCTGCAGGTTCTCCAGCCCCCTAACCCCATCCTCTTTCTCCGCACTGCTCTTTCCATTTGTGGTGACCCTCCCTGGAGGGGTCGTGCCCAGCCCTCCTTCCTCATGGCAAGGCCACACAGTGAGGTTGGAGGAACCCCATCTCCTCTCACACCTCCAACAGCCACACACCCTGGGCTGTGTGTGTATCCTCCATTATTCATGGCTCTCAGATCTCAGCAAAACACACAGATCTGGCTTGGAACCAGCACAGTTTTCATCTGTAACTCCCAGCCCTCTCCTTCTCTCATGATGCCCTTGCATTTGATCTTCTGCAAATTTGCCTCTTTGTTCTTCAGACAGAATCATATTGCCAGGGGCTCCTGACGGCCCTTGGTGGCACAGACTGCCATGAAAATTCTCTTTAAATAAAAAAATAAAAACATCCCCAGAGCAATAAGCGAGACACCTCCAGGTAGAAATGTCACAACCTACCATAAGACAACAGCTCAGAGCAGAGAACAAAGCAGGCCCCGACCCAGTTGTATTGGGATGAGTGCCGAGAACTTGCGGGAAGAGAGGAGAGGCTGAGTCTCATTTCTCTCTCCCTGGATCCCTTGTTTTCTCCCCAGATTTCAAATTCTAGGCTGGAAAGTTGGTTGATGATAATACCCAGCACTGACTAGGCAGCAGAGACCCACGCTACTGATTCACTGTTGGGGGTGGCATATGTTTCTAGAGACTTCCAGTTCCTGCTTATTCACTTAATCTAGTTGCTCACCCAGCAACATTGTATCAGGCTTTGGGGAGCCAGTGACAGAGAGTCCAGCTCAAATTTGATCTAGACAGGGCAACTACTGGCTCCCAAAACTGAAAAGTCGGGGAGTAGTAACTGTTTCAGTTAACTGCTAAATCCAGGGGTTCCAAATGTCTTCGAAACCCGTGCAGCCCTCCAACTGTACACATCAAAATGGCTATGGTGGTAAACTTTATGTCACATGTATTTCACCTCGATTTTTTTAAAAATTAAAAACAAAACAAAAAAACCTGTGCACCATGCCCCACCAGCAGGGTGGAGCCTTTAGTTGGTTGCTTTCACCTGGAAGGCAGTCCCCTCTCATCATTTAAGCCCTCCCCCCCCCCCATGTCAGCTCCTCACAGAGGCCTCCCTGAGGACCAATCTAAAGCTGCCACCCTCCTTTGTCCACTCGCTCTCACCCTTCAAAGCCCTTGCCACTTCCGGAAAGTATCCTGTTTATTCATTTGTTTACATATAGGCTTACTTGTCAAGACTGCTTTCCGCCCCGATAGAGCGTCCGTGAGCTCCGTGAGAATGGGGACTCTGTCTTGTTCACAGCTGTTTCCCCAGGGCAGAGAACAGGCCTGGCACAGAGTGGGATTTAACAAATAGATGTAGCAGGAATAAATGAAGGAATGTGCTTTCTGTCTCTATCCTACTCTCCTTGCATTTGGCACCATTCTCAGGTGGGGTCTCCCTGGATGGTGGCGGAATGGCTGTGGGCAGCTCCAATGTCTCACCATCAATGTTACCTCATGGTCAATATTACACCAACAATATTACAGCATCAACGCATCATCCTCACAGCCCTGAGTTCAATCGGAGGCAGAGACTCGTCTCTCAAATATCCCACGGTCGCAACTCATTGGCTCTGACTGGATCATGGGCCCTCCCCAGAGCCAATCACTGCGAGCAGGGATGCAGTGCTCTGATTGGCCAGCCTGAAGGCCAGGTCCACCTAGGGGGCAGCACCACCAAAACTGCGCTGGGTGAGGGGTGGTCCCCCCGCCCCGAGAAGTTGCGGGAGAAAGCGGCACAGATGTGAGGTGGGCAGATACCTCTGGCGGATGCTGCGGGCACCTCAGACACACCAGCTTTTGTACCAGGCTCCGGAGAGTCCAAGATAAATAGCACTTTAATAAACACTTGCTGAATGAGGACAACTCAATCCCTGATCTCTCTGCAGAGAGAGGGAGACAGATCCGTGTAGTCGTCGGACGTGTTTATGCCGAAGGGAGACAGGGTTGTGGGGGCGCCTGTGTCCCGCCTGTGAGGTTGAAAAGGGTTTAAACCTCCCCAAGTTGCCAGGTTGAAACAGGCTTTAGAGCCAGGAACCTGCTTGACCCAGGGATTCCATGAATTTACGCAAAAGTCGAAATAAACGATATGGAGGCAACGGTTGTTGCGGAGTTACTAGTGACAGGGAAAAACAAAACAAAACTGGAAACAACCCAAATGTCCCCCAGTAGGGGACTGGTTAACTAAATTATGAAACATCCACTTGATGGAATATTCTGGAGCGGTTAAAAATGACCGTTATGAAAACTACAGAGCAACAGGGAGGAAAGCATCTGTTCTAATGTGCAGTGACAGCACAGAATACAAAACCGTGACCACGAGAAGCCCCACCGTGTGCCCTGCCCTGGGCCTGGGGTCCAGACACAGGGGATACAATTCCTGTCCCCAGGAAGTTCCTGGTCGCAGTTGAGGTGGAAGCAAGTAATGACACTCGGGAGTGAGAAGGGGAGCGACGGAGGGGCAAGGAGTTCCTTGGGGTCCCAGAAAACTGCTCTGGGAAGTGGTCTTTGAGCTGGATCTCAGGGTCTTTGAGCTGGAGCTTGTAAACACATGGGCACTTGTAGAAAAAGGCTTAAAGGCAACACACACACGCACACGCACACACACACACACACATACATGAAAATGGCTGTGCTGGCAGAATTATGAGTGATTTCCCTCCTCTTTTTTCCAAAATCCCTTTCAGGTTATATTGTTTTTACAATAAAAGCTAGCAGAAAACTAAGCTCAGATAAGAAAGAATAGTTTTCACTGCCAACATTTGTGTCTGTAAATCATACATGAGTTCATAAGCACTTTATTTCCTTGACAGAGCAGGGATGTGGGGAAATATTTATTGAACATTTTGCATGTTGCCTGGCCCTTGTGCTCAGCTGTGAAGAGATGAGACACTTAAATTTCTAGTGGGAAGAACAAGATACAGACCTAGGAAATAGTAAAATTTTTAATATTAAATAATGGTTTGAGATGACTTTGGTGGCCGAGGGTGGGGGCACTGCTCTCTGAGCGTCCAAGTGCGCGACCTGGGTGAAACAGAGGAGGCCAGACCTGGTCAGAGCAGATGGAGCTATGCCGTCAGTCTGATTTCAGCTGAGGAGGTGGCCACAGCCACAGGGTGGGGCTTGCCTTTGGATAAAGGACAGGTCAAGGGTCAAGAATTGGGAAGGGCAGGAGAGGGTCAGTCCAGAGAAGCAGAGTGGGACAGAGCTGTGAAAACTTTGTAGGGGGAGAAGGCCCCCCTTGGGGAGGCTCCAGATGCAGCTTCAAAGGGGTGGATGGAGTAGGACCGGCCATCACAGGAAGGACACAGTGTCACATGAGAGACCTCTGCCTGGCCCCACGCCTACCAGTACAGACTCACAGGCCCACTGCTAAGGGCAACAGGCCAGTGTGTGTCTGCATTTTCAGTTTCCACAATGGGAGGTGAGCCCCATAAAGTGAGGATCTCTGTAAACAAAGGATGGGCTTCAGATATATTACTGCTGTTCATCTCCCTAGGAAGCCCCAGGCTCGAACCCCCATCCCCTCATTCGTAAGGTGAGGAGGCAGGATGGCAGACTGAACACCCGTATGTAACTGCACTCCCTACAGCAAATGATTTTTAAAAAGACATCAACTCAATAGGAAGGAGGAGATGGTGACGATGTGATGTTGGAAGCTGGAAACAGGGAGAAGGAACACCTGACGGAGAGGTCCCAGATAGACAGAACAGTAGGCTGTTTGATCCCCAGAAGACACTCAAGTCTGTTCTCGCCCCAGACCTCAAAGCCTCAGGATCGTGCAGCCGCAGGAACACCTGAAAATGGGGATGAATGAGAGTTAAAACAAGGAGTACAGAGCAAAGGCTTTTGTAATCTGTGGGAATCTGGCTCCCCAACTCACTTCAAGCTGTTGGGTAACTGCCCCTCATCTCTCCAGCAAAAGTCCAGAACTCATCTCTCAGGAGAAGGCCGGGCACATCTAAGAGCTTAGATGCTGGACTGAAAACGAGATAGAGCATGCTCTGACCCCACCCAGCTCCCTTCCCCTGCTCAGTCCAGAAGCCACCAGGCCAGACCTCTTCCCTAGGAGGAGACTGAAAGAGTTTCCCGGGGGAGTCTGACCAGCTGCCCATGAAAGACCTCAAGGCACTGACACTGGAGGATTCCCCCACCAGTAGTTCATCGAGATCTCAGAGTTTCTAATCGGCATTTTGGTACTTAATCATGGTCTGGTGAACCACAAATCACCAGACATCTGAGAGACACGTCTGTCGGGGAATAGAACAAAGCTGACAAACTGAAGATAGAGTGTACAGAAACAAGCTTCTGCAAGTGCAGAAAGCCTTTAAAGATTATTATTAGGGATGCCTGGGTGGCTCAGTGGGTTAAGCATCTGCCTTCGGCTCAGGTCATGATCCCAGGGTCCGGGGATCAAGTCCCACATCAGACTCTCTGCTCAGTGGGGAGTCAGCCTCTCCCTCTGCCTGCCACTCCCCTTGCTTGTGCTCTTCTCTCTCTCTCATCTTTCTGACAAATAAATAAATAAAATCTTTAAAAAAATAAAATAATTAAAGATTATTATTAATAATCTCAGGGAGATAAGAGGAGATACTACATCCATGAAGCTCTAATCAAAGGAACATTCAGAGAATAGACAATTATGAGATTTATTGGAAATTAAAAGCAGAAAGAAATGATTTTTAAAAAGGAATAGGTGGATTAGAAGGCAAATGTGAGGAAATCTTCCAGAAAATAAAATGAAAAGACAAAGAATTAGAAAACAGGTGAGGAAAGGTAAGAACATTGAAAAATCAATTCAAGAGATTCAACAGCTGAGCAACAGGAGTTGAAGAAAGAGAAAACAGAAAGAAATTGTAAATGAAATACTTCAAGAAAATTTCTCAGGAATGAAGAACACACATTTTTTAATTGAAAGGACCCAAATTTTGCACCACAATGGATGAAAACAGACCCACACCAAAGCGCATTGCTGCAAAATTTCAGGAGCCTAGGGACAAGAAGTCTACACGTTTCCAGAGAGACTAGAAGACATAACATAATGCTCTCAAAATTCCGAAAGAATTATTTCCAAACCAGATTCTATACCCAGGCAAAGTGAGAGGAGAGGAAAAGGCATCTGTAGAGACTCAAGATCTCAACCAATGAAAATCTCTCCGCCCTTTCTCAGGAAGCCCGTGGAGCCACAACACGGGGGGGTGGGGGTGGGGGGGGGTGGGAACAGACCGAGAGAGAGCATCCTCTGGATGGCCAGGGGACCAGGAGAGCCAGCCCAGGAGAAAGGGCAGAAGGAATCCTGAGGGTGATGGTCACTAGGGATCCCAGGATGTCTACTGAGTCCCAGGCAGAGACTGGAGAAAGCTTGAACATTTGTGGCCAAGCACAGTCGGGGCTCCGCAGCTATGATCACCCTTCCTCAGGGATGGACAGGTAGGCACAGTAAAGTCAGAGGAGCTACTCCTTCCACAAGGTGACTCCAAGTGAGGCGTGACGAAGTACGTTCCTAACGTGAATGGCCATGCTGAAGTGGAGCCTCTTGTCAAGGGCCTTCTTCCAGCCCACTGCATTGCACAGAGGCACACAAAGGACGAATTCTCCTTTATCTGCATCTACAGGTGTGTGTGAGCAGGCAGTGCCCAGAGCGCCGAGCAAAAGGGGCTTTCCCTCCTTGTGCGGAGTATACACTTAAAACATATAAGTTCGGACTGTACCAAGTGCTTTGGAAAAAATAAAACAGGTTACGGAGTTGAGAGTGGCTATGAGGGGCAGGTCGGGGCAGGCCTCTCTAAGGAAGTGACATTTGAGCTGAGACCTGCATGATGCGGTGAGCTGACTGTGCAAGCATCTTGTGGGGGGTGGGGGGGCAGCAAGAGCAAAGTCCCTGAGGTGGGAAGGAGTTTGACATGTTGAAGATACCAGCAGAGAGGCAGGAGGAGAGCAGCAGGGGATGGGTTAGGAAGGGGCCGGTGGGGCCAGAGTCGGCAGGGCTGTGGCAGCTGGGACGAAGGGGCCACAGGGGACTGGAGGCTCAGGGAGTTTCAAGCAGAGAAATGCCCTGACATTATTTACTTGGTGTCACTATTAATATCCTGGGATGGAGATGACTAACTCCCTTCCAACATCCATTCCTCCTTCTGTCTCACCACAGAATCCTGGGAAAAGGGCTCAGCAAAAAAAAAAAAAAAAAAAAAAAAAAAGGCAAAAAAACAGCCCCTACATTTCCCAGCAGCCTCCCTTTCAGCTAGGTATGGTCAATGCACAAAATTCCGGCCTCCTCCATTTTCCTCTTTCCAGCCTGACATGATGGCCAGAAGTCCAGCAGCCATTTTGGACCATGGACCTAGGATAGGAGCCACATGCTAGGAAAGGCCATAGACAAGCAGAAAGAACCCGGGTCCCGGATGACAACAGATGGTCTTAGCAGGCTTACACTGCCAACCTCCAGACTTGTTTTATGGGAGGAAATGAACCTTGTGAAGGTAGGCTGCCATCTTCTAGGCCATCTTGATTCCTGAGAATCCCCTCCTGGTAGGACCGAGATCTTGCATGGGACTCTTGGAATCATTGATAGGTTGGAGGCGTCAGCCTCTTATCTGCCCATTTCCTCCATTCACGCACAGGCAGCAGGCATCTCAAAGATTCCCTCTACCTTCCAAATCTCAGAGTGTCAGAAGAGAAGGGGCCTTTGGGGCGGGAAGGGTCCCCCAGGAAAGGGCACCGACATTCTTGCTAAAGGAGGGGACTATGGGGTTTTCTTTTTCTTGGCTCCGTGGGGGAGAATAGTGAGGAGTGAAATGACAAGTGGGTTTCTATGTTTAAACTTTTGTATCCTGATCCTTTACTCGGCAACCAGAACCCCCCCAGGCTATGTTTTTTTTTTTATATACACACAGAATTCAGCCTTCAGAGTTGGAGTTTGAGAGCTCAGAGCTTCACCAGAATCACCTGGGTATCGGATCATTAAAAATACAGATTCCCGGGCCCACTCCCCTGAGTCAGGCATCCAGTTAAGCTCTTGCTTTCCTCCCACAGGTATCCTTGCCTCCAGGACTGGTTCAGGCTCCAGATCCGGACATTCTTGCCCTCAGTCCCCTCCCACATGCAATCCACCCGCCGCTGCTGCTGGCTCCACCCCCGGACCTATCCCAGACCCCGCCCCCCCACTTGCCTCCATCCATGGCCACTCCCCTGGCCCGAGCCCCCTCCTTGCTCACTACAGCCTCCTGAGCTTTTTTATAATGTCAACCAGAAGCTGGAATTCCGCGTTTAAAGCTCTCCAAAGACTTCCCGCTACACTTAGAGTGAAGTGCAAACTCCTTTCATGGCTGAATCCTTCTCACATTCTTGCTGCCTCTGCTTCAATCATTTCCCTCTTTTCCATTCCCCACCCGCACCCCAAAAATTCTATACTGGTTCCGACCATAGGGCCTTTGCTGGGCTGGTCTTCTTTCTCCCCAGATTCTCATCATCCCTCAGGTCACAGCTTAAGCGCCACCTCCCTCTCCTGCCCCCACCCCCGCATTCTCCAGCACATCTCTCTCTTTATATTCCACACTGCAGTTATCTGAAGCTATCTTGTTCATGTATTTGCTTACCTGTCTGTTGTCTTCTTCTTTCCCCACTGGAGTGTAGAACATGAGCAGGGACTTCAGTGGACGTGTCCACCAGACCCCCAGGGCCCAAGTGACACCTGGCACATAATAGGTGTTCCATAAATATTTGTTAAATGGGTGAACAAACGTGTGCAGCACTTGCCCACCCACCATCTCATTTAATCCCTGCAGCCGAGGAAGTCAGCGGGGCACAGAGGTGCATGTCCCACAGGCTAGGTGGCCGGGCCATGACCCATGCGCACTCTCCTCGCCCCGGCTTGGAGGTTCACCTGTCTACCACAAGTTCATTGTTGTGGGGTGGGAAGAACCTGTGCTTTGCAGCTTCTCTCCCTTCTTTAGCTCCCAACACTGGGCTGGTGCCTGCATCCTGCCTTCCTTCCAAAAGAGGCCATGCCCCATGTTCTCAGTCCCTTCCCGTGGGGCCAGAACCAAATGCCCAAGCAGGAGACGAGTGCTCTGAGCTGCTGCCTGGTGGGGGGATCTGCCTGCTTTCTCTATTCAAAAGATGTTTTCCCAAGCTCCTCCTGGTGCTAAATCATTCTTCCAAATTAGCAGCAATGCTCATTACCAACCCAACCATCTCCCATTAGGCAGTAAATGTGTGTCTGCTGTGGAAGCTCCCCCAGACCCCAGGCCATGCCCCCCTCACTCCTGGATGGGGGTGGGGAGTGGGGGCTGGCTAGGGGGTGGGGGCAGGTGGCCACCCCTAACTGGTGGGAGGGCATGTCACAGTGGCTGTAGGTCCCCGTTCTGTGCCCTCACCCCTCAGTCCACTGCTCCGCCACCCCCTGCTTGGAAGAGCATACATAGATGCCCTAGCTTTCCAGGACAGTTTGTGGGCCTCTGTCACAGATCTGTGTGTGGGACTTGCTGCTGGATTTTAAAGAAGACATTAGGGCAGGGGCATTTGTAAAGCAGCGAGAGACCAGAAACCATTTACTTATGGAAATGCTCTTAAAGTTCAATCACTGCACATTCTACAATTTGATGAGAGCTTTTAAAACAGCCCATGGGTGCTCTGAGCCTCCTGTCCATTCCCAGGCCTCCAGGGCTCCCTGAAGCTGGACAGGGCCTGGAAACCACCTTGAATCCCAACCGATGTGCTGAGAGTCTCCAGCTTGCTGTGGGTTTTACAGGCTGCTCACAAGACTGTCTTCAGGGAACAGGACACTGATTAGAACTCAGGAGTGAAATGGCTCATCCTACACAATGTGTATAATAAATATTAGACAACAACAACAACAACAACAATTCTGCCTGCATCTTCCACGTTGTCTAAGGAAGTGTCAGAAGCACAATTACAAACTGGTGAAAAAGCAACATTTGGCTGCTTGAAAATAGCCTCTTTTGGCTCATTAGCGGGGCGTGTGCCTGAGGGCAGGGAACGTTCATCCAGCTCTGGAATTTTTATCACCACAATGGCTCCACACATCATGCTGAATTCAGCAGATTTCCTGAGACCTTTCTGCTAAGCACAAGGGAAGCCCTGGAGCTCACAGTGGGGCGAGCTCGTCATTCACTTATCCAACACATATTAATTGAGCTTCTACTATGTGCCAGGCACTGTTCACAATGCTGCGGTACTCAGGAGATGGAAAACAACATGTCCCTGCCTTTGTGGAGCTTTGTCTGTTGTGGTGGAGATGGAGAGGCAAACAAAACCCCAAAGACAATTACAGATAAGTGTAATGGAAAACCAAGAAAGCTAAGCAGGGAGGGTTGTCATGGAGAAAGACAGGGTGGGGGCAGCAGGTGACTTTAAATCGCGGGATCAAAACAAGCCTCACTAAATCAGAGGCTATCTGGACCATTAGCTTCAGCATCCCTGAGAAATTAGGAATGTGAATTCCCAGGCCCCTGTGATCTGGGTTCAACAAGCCCTCCCATGATTCTGATGCATACTTGAGAGGTGTGTGGGCTGATAGCTGAGTGCCCGAAACAGTGAGCCTAGGGTACCACGAAGAGAGCAGAGCAATGAGGCCAGCGAGCTAGAGCTTAGGGTGCAGGAGGTGACATAGGGCAGCCAGCAAGGGTTTCTCGGGCCTTCCTGAGACATTTGGATTCTATTCCAGATGTGCGCTGTCCTCTCACCTTCCCCCTGGCTTCATGTGGTTTGCTATAAATGCTCTGGATTTCACCTTCCACCTCTTTCCTGAGGAAGAGGCAGGGGCTAACTCATGCCCAACCTCTTGGGAGTTTTCCGGTTTGATCCTGTGCCCAGATGAGTTGGCTGGTCATTTGTCCCCTCCACTCTAGGATGGTAGAGAGGGATGGAGGAGAGACCCCACTATTTCCCCACTATTTCTAAAAACAGGGAAATGAGTGTGGGGGCAGTGCAAGTGGTGATGTGAAGGGAAGGCTGAGAGGGCCAAGTAAAACAAGCCATGATGGCGGGAGTGGGGACATGGGTAGGGGCCTCACAGGGACTAAGGAGAGACTTAGAAGCCCTCACTTTCTCCCAGAGCCACAGATCAGCAAACACAGCAGCCCCAAACCTGCCACCCCACTCCATCTGGCTATGGGACCGCAGGAAGAGCCGAACAGTGTGGGGCCACTACCAAGCCCATCACAAACTGCGTGTGGACCACACTGGCGATGTGCAACCAGGGGGACAGGCTGATGAGCTCCTGGGGACCCACTGGAGCATTTCTGCTGCAAGTCAGTATACAACCCTTCCCATGGACACTGCCTCAGCATGCAGGTTAGTGCTGCTTGCAGAAAAGCTTCCTGCCTGGCTCGTACTCCAGAAACTCAGTTTGAAAGCTGGTGGGCAGCAGACAAGCCAGAATGCCAGATGGAAGTCCCAGTCCAAAATGCAGGACATGCATGAGAAAGACTTGATGAATTCAGAAACCAGAATGACACGTGGTGAACTCTGTGAGGCCATTCATTCACTCTTCCTGTTGTCAAAGTATTTCCTGAGCATCTACTATGTGCTGAGGACTGTTCTAGGTTCTAAGGATCCCACATCCTTGAACAAGATGGACAAGGTTCCTACTTCCCTGGAACTTACCATTCTAAGGGCAGGAGATAATACATGAGCTTACAGACAGGAACATTTCAGATTGTGAGTAGTGCTATAACGCATGGGGATGTTTATGGCGAGAGCTACTTAAGAAAGGCCTCCCAGGGAAGTTGGGAGAGGAGCTGAGACTTGCAGGAAGTGTGTTCCAGGCAGAGGGAACTGCAAGAGCAAAGACCCTGTCACAGGAGATGGCACATGCTGTCCCTTTCCCCCAGAACAAGCCCAGGTGCTCGCCTAAGTGGGGTTTCCCCATACTCCAAGGGCTGGTGGGAAAGGAGATCATATCAGAGACAATCAGCCTGATATTTGCAGGTCCCTGTAGCTCGCATGGGGGCGGGTCAGGGGTTTAAGGCGGTGGTGGGAGATAAAGCCAGGGGCTTTAAAGTCAGCCAGACGTGGGTGATGGTCCCAGCTCCCTCCCTCAGCAGCTGCGTGACCTGGGAAAATTGCTTCATATCTCTGGGCTTCCATTTCCTCACCCCTATCTTGTTTAGATGTAATTCCTGAAAATGAGATTTGTGAATCGCTCTGGTAGGACGCTGCTCCATCCTCAGTAGCTGTGATTTCGGCGTCAAATTTCAAGCCGCATTCTGTGCTTGTCCTGCAGGGCTTACTAAGCACCTACTAACCACAGAAGGGATGATGACGTGATTCCCATCCCCCACCCCCCACTTGTACACACGGAGCGGGTGGTGTTCCCGGAGAACAACGCAGAGCAATGCAAGCACTGCAAGGGCACTGTATGCCGGTCTTGTCTGACCGGCTTCCAGGCCTTCTTTTCTGGAAAAAGCATCTGGAGTTTCCATCAGTCCCTGAGGGTCAGGTGGGATTCCTCCCTCCTCCCAGGTGCACGGGCCCAGGGTCTGGGCCCACACCTTCAACTCATGCAAGCCCCGCCCCACTTCAGTGACTGGTCAGGGATGGGCCAATGAAAATCGTCCTGGGACTTGTGCTGACCAGTGGACAAACCAGCCGGATGAGGGCCTCGACTGCTGGGGCCACCCTTCGGCTCGTTGGGGGAAAACTTCCTCAAAATAAAGTCCCAGGGAGAAGAGCAGAGCTGAGAGGTGGAGAGAAACCAAATAGCGATGACAAGAGTCCCTGGAACCACCCAGGCCTCATGCCAGCAGCACTAGCTCTGGACTTAGAATTATGTGAGACAATTTCCTTTTGGCTCATGCCTAATTTTAAGAGGGTTTCTTTCCCTTGCAACCAAAGAGGCCTGACTGATACAGAGGGTTGTATATGGAGGGATAGAGCTGGAGCTTCCACGAATGGTTGTGGATCAGTGATTAGGGAGAGATGAGGGTATAGACTGAGGAATGGTAAGAAATTTGATTGAATGGTGGTGTGGCATGTGCTTGTTACTTCTTCACCATCAGTTCGCCCACCTTCCTCAGAGAACCCCAAACTTCTTAGCCATGCATTTGGGTAGAAGTGACCCCACAGGCAGCTCTGGGGTGAGCCCAGGTGAGCTTAGCCAGTCAGCATTTCCCATTGCACAGTGACAGGTAAATTAATAAAGGAGCACAGGACCTATGTCAACATGATCAGGACCAATGAGATTCAATTCTGGGACTCTTTCCCACTGGATATGAATAAGGAAGCAGGTGGCCTTGGAAGCTTCTGGCAGCCATCTTGGAACAATGATGAGAGAGCCTGCTAAGAATGGAGTCTGTTCCAAGGCAGATCTGAAATATAGGAAGGACAGTCTCATTGTGGGAGTCCTGAATTGAGCCTTGTCTGAATAAGGAACAACCCCTGACCTCTTCAGCTGAGTGAGCCAATGCAGTCCCTTTGGGCTTAAGCCAGTTTGGTTCAGTTTTCTGTCATGTGTGAAAAAGAATCCTTTCTACCTTCAATGGGACTCAAGGTGGGGCTCTCATTTCCTGTCTTCCCACCTCCCAGAGGCCCATGGAGCATCTAGTGCATCCTCCCAGTTCACACCTTGTAGCCTCTAGGAAAGTATTTTGTTTTTCTCAAATTCTCAAATCACCAGAATGTAGGGATCTCTCTGGGGCCTTAGAACTGAGATTCCTGAAGGGGCCAAGG